AAAAAAAAAACTTGCCACTGAAGTGATTTTTGCAAGCTTCACTGAATGAAGCTTGCAAAATGGGGAAAGGCTCTTGCTACCCCAGGCAGAGCTTGCTTTGGGAAATGAGGACATCCAGAGCTGAATGTTCCTCTGAGTAGAGTGGAGTAAATGGGGTAGCGGAGTAGTTCCCATCGCAAAGAACTGAGCAAAGGGTTAGATGATAGGGAGCAAGCATAGTGCATGGCTGGTGTGGGAGAATTGTCTGTATTCTGTCAATCATGTATTTTAATAAAACGCTAATTGGCCAGGCAGGAAGTATAGGTGGGTCAACCAGACAGGAAGTAGAGGTGATGCAATGAGAACAGGAGAATTCTGGGAAGCAGGAAGCTTCCTCTGCCACTCCTGCGCAGACCACCGAAGAGGCAGCATGTAACTTGCCCAGCTGAAAAAGGTACCAAGCCATATGGCTAACATAAATAAGGATAATGGGGTAATATGTGTCATAAGAACTAATAAGTAGCCTGACCTAATGGGCCAATCAGCTTTATAATCTTATGGAGTCCTGTGTGTGATTTTCATTGGGAGTTGCTGGTTGTGGGGTACTGGGTGGGACAGAAACCCCAACAAGCCGGCCCTCATGTTATACATGGCCTGTACCATAACAAGTCAGAAAATGCTATCAGTATCGTTCATCAGCAACAAGATCTTATGACCAAAGAAAGGCAGGCATGGCCATGCACATTTGTAATCCCAGCATATAGAAAACTGAGACATGGCCAGGGGGGTGATGGCACATGCCTTTAATCCTAGCACTCGGGAGGCAGAAGCAGGCGGATCTCTATGAGTCTGAGGCCAGCTAGTTCTAGGACAGGCTCTAAAACTACAGAGAAACCCTGTCTCAAAAAACTCAAAAAGAAAAAAGAAAAGGAAAAAAGAAAACTGAGACAAGATCAAAAGGTTGAGGTCAGCTAGGGCTACATAACAAGTTCAAGACCAGCCTAGAGTATAGAGCGAGATCCTGCCTCAAAATAATAATAATAATAGAGTGATGGAGGAATGACTCGTAGTTGGGAGCACTAGTTGAGTGTTGGAGGGATGACTCAGGGGTTAGGAGCACTAGTTGGAGTGCTGGAGGGATGACCTGGTGGTTAGGAGCACTTGTTGGTTTTGCAGAGAACTTGGCTCTCAACCATCTGTAACTCTGGTTCCAAAGGGTTCAACACGCTCTCCCTGGGCACTGTGGGCACAGCACCCATGTGCTGCACATACATACACACAAGTAAAAGCTCATACACGTGGAAATAAATCTCTTTACATTTTTCAAATGAATGCATAAAAAGATCCCATTCAGAGGGATCTTTGTCATCAGAAGCTTATCTTTATGACTCCACCCGTCCCACCACCTCACTTTATTGTCCAACTATGGGATCAGAGTTCTCAGAAAATGGAGGAAAGAGCAACTAATTAGCTTCGGATGAAGGGAAAGGCAGAAATATCAGGGACAGAGAGCAGAAAACAGGCCATATCCATAGAATGCTGTGCAACAGGATAAAAATAGGTCTGGTGTCCCAGGAGCCATGCTAGAGGAAAACAAAGTGCATCCTCAAGTTGCTGAGTTTATTTCCTGTGCCCAAAGTTCGGGTTAAGACATGGAACACACACCTGCAAGCTCCACAGAGCCAAGAGACAGTCTGAGAAGAAGGGAAATTATTGCAAAGATTTATCCCTTGATGTTAGATGGTACTGAAATGGGTAAAGTCAACAAATGTCACAGCCTGATTCCATGAATACATGCTTAATATATACTATGTGCTAGGACTAGGGCAGCCCCAAAGACACACAGACACATATGTCTGTTCTCTAGCTTACATGCTGGAGGGGAAAGACCAATAATTAACAACTACTACAGGCATGATGTGGTTTGTAATTCTAACACTCAGGAGGCTAAATCAGGAAGATTGGGAGTTTGAGACAGGCTGAGCATAGTAAGATGAGAGAGAAAGAGAGACAGAAAGAGAGACAGAAAGAGGGAGGAGGAGGAAAAGACTGGCACAAATAGTCACTTTCTCTGGAAGCTATCAGATGATGCAACTGACCAAATTAAGGAGAGGAGGGATGGGGAAATTATCTTAGGGTTAACCGTGTGCACAAAAATATAGCAAAGAGCTTAAAAAATCTTTTGGAGTCTTGTGGGAAAACCTAGGCAAGAATCTATACTCAGGAAACTTAAGGGAAAGGCATAAGGCAGCCAAGCGTAGAGGCTCACGTCTGTAATCCCAGCTGGGGCAGGAGTAATGCTGGTGTTTGAGGCCAGCCTGGGCTGCATTGTGAATTTTAGACTGAGGCACAGACTGAGACCTTGTCAAAGCATATATGAAGGCTGGAGATGTATCAGGGTTGGCAGAGTGCTTGCCTAACATGAACAAAGCCCCAGGTTCCATCCTCAGCACCACATAAGACGAATGTGGTGGCTCACACCTGCAATCTCAGCGCTCCGGAGGCGGAGGGAGGGAGATCAGAAATTCAGGGTCATTGTTGATCACAAATTGAGTTCCAGCCTGGACTACATCTACACACACACACACACACACACACACACACACACGTGCACACACTCACACCACCACCAATAACAACAATGACAAAAGACATGAGGCTATCATATGCTTATAACACAATATGCAGTTTATATTTGGAAACTGTGCTTTTAAAAAATAACCAGAGGAGAAATGGAGGTGAAAAAAAAGTTTGAGAGACAGGGTCTCTCTGTGTAGTTCTGGCTGTCCTAGAACTCACTCTGTAGACCAGGCTGGCCTAGAACTAAGAGATCTGCCTCCTGAGTTCTGGGATTAAAGGTATGCACCACCATGCTAGGCTTGGTGGAAGATTCTTCCTCTCCTATCCACTCTCCTACCTCCACTGTCAGGACATAAGCATTTGTCTTGATAATGGAGTCTTCTATTTTCTAATGTGTCTTCGTCTGTGCACCATATCTGTGTTTGGTGCCTGAGGAGGTGGTGAGCCTCCATGTGGGTGCTGGGAATAGAACCAGGTTTTTTGCAAGAACACTAAGTGCCCTTACCCACTAAGCCAACTCTCCAGCTCAATAACAGAGTCTTGACAATAGATACTTGAGGCCTTTTCTGTTCCTTGAGAAGAGGGTAGATTATGGATAAGATATAAAAGGCTTAAATCAAGTGGAACAAACCTGTATTACCAACATTCAGAAGGGTTGAGAGTTTGATGTCAGCCTGAGCTAAAAGGAATCCACTGTTTCAAAAAAGAAATAAATATCCTGGTACTTGGAAGGCAAAGACAGGTAGATCTTTGTATTTGAAAGGCCAGCCTGGATAGCCTAGTCTACATATAGTTCCAGGGGTACATATCTAGACCAACACACACACACACACACACACACACACACACACACACACACACACACCAAATAATAATAATAATAATCACGTGATCAGATAAATAACTAAAAGTGAAAGATTGGCTGGGCAGTGGTGGTACATGTCTTCAATACCAGCACTCGGGAGGCAAAGGCAGGCAAATCTCTGTAGTTTGAGGTCAGCCTGGTATACAGAGCGAGTTCCAGGACAGTCAGGGCTACACAGAGAAACCCTGTCTTGAAAAACGAGGAAAAAAGAAAAAGTGAATGGAGACAATTCAGGTGCAAATAGAATTCACCTTCACACTGAATATGTGCAGTTCAAATCAGATGTGAGGGTGAAGCGAACCTGTGAAATGGGATTAGTTACTGATGAGGATGAGTCTGGTTCCGATACATAGGGCTCTTGTAAGAGGACTGTCAGAACAGATGGGGAAACTGGCTGCACAGACTGTAGAAAAGTATCAACAAACCTAGTCACCGGTCCACCGTTTCATTCGACCACTCCTCTTCCCGTTTCATTCCTGCTGGAGCCCCTCAGTTTTTGGTGTCAGCTTCAGACACCTCACCTGTTGGCTGCTTCTCCCACAACCCTCAGTGGCCACCCTTTGCCCTGCAATGATCTGTTCTTTCTGACATTCTCCTTCATCTCACACCCCGGCCATGTACATGTCTGACAAAATCCAGTCCGCCCTAGACTCAAACAGTTCTTCAAGAACATAGCGGCCAGTTTCCTTCTTCTTAGCATTCATTACCAAATATCTTTCTCCTTAAAATGATCCCAACTCCCTCTTTTCCACTCTTCACTCTGTTGATACTGGCTTGGCCTCGTGCCCAGTAACTCTCCTCCAGTCCCAAGCTCCTTTTAGGTCCGGAATGCTCACTCATATTTACCCTTCGGGGCCAACAGAGCTTGGCCTTGCTCTAGCTTCTCTTTGACTTTCAATTCTTCTCCAATCTCCTTTGTCTTCAATTCTTCATCCACCTGATTCCACGGAGCCTTCTCTAATTTTGTCTTTCTCTTCCATAGGAACAGATTCATGGGCGGTATCTTCCCCATTGTTCAAGACAAAACTGTCAATCTCCCCTGCTTTCTCCGCTCCTTCTTGTTCATCTCTGCCTTCCAGACTTTCGGAAATTTGCAAGTCCTGACTCATCTTTTCCACTGCACTTTCATCACCAGTAATATTTATCACTCTTTCTGTGTCCTCTTCGGTTGTACTTCCCAGTCTTGAATGCTCTTCCAGTTCCATCTCATCAGACTGTGCTTCCTCAGTATTTGACTCCAGTTTATCTCCAGTGGATTTCAGGTTCTTATCACCAGTCCTCGGCTTCTCTCCTTCACTGGAACTTGATTTCTCTCTATTCAATCTCAGCTTCTCATCACTTGACTGCGCCTTCTCTTTGGAGGATCCCCGCCTCTCTCCACTGTCGGATGCCTTCTCTCGGATGGACCCCCGTTTCTCTCCACTGTCGGATGCCTTTTTTCTGATGGACCCCCGTTTCTCTCCACTGTCTGATACCTTCTCTCTGATGGAACCTCGCTTCTCTCCACTATCCGACACCTTCTCTCTGATGGAACCCCGCTTCTCTTCACTGTTGGATACCTTTTTTCTGATGGACCCCCGTTTCTCTCCACTGTCCGACGCCTTCTCTCTGATGGACCCCCGTTTCTCTCCACTGTCCGACGCCTTCTCTCTGATGGACCCCCGTTTCTCGCCACTGTCCGACACCTTCTTTCTGATGGACCCCCGCTTCTCGCCACTGTCAGACACCTCTCTGATGGAACCCCGCTTCTCGCCACTGTCTGACAACTTCTCTCTGATAGACCCCCGTTTCTCGCCACTGTCCGACAACTTCTCTCTGACGGACCCCCGTTTCTCTCTACTGTCCATTTTCTCTACAACAGACCGCTTCTCTCCCCTGCCCACCACCTTCTCTCCCGTGGACACCCGTTTCTCTCTCTTGTACACCAAGTTCTCTCCACTGGACTCCACTTCCTCATTCTGCCTAAGTTGATCCCCTCTGGATCTCAAGTCCCCTCCACTGGTTCTCAATTTGTCCTTAGACTTCAATCTTTCTTCAGACTCTGCTGTCATCTCTGCACTCTCAGATACAGCTCCAGCTTTGGGTCTGTCCTCCTGCCGTCCCCAAATCTCTGGGATATCATCCAACCTTGCTGGAGCCTGTGACGTCCTTTCTACACTGTTCAAGAGCTTCGTGTCCACCTTCTCCTGATGCAGGCCCGATCTCTCTTTCGAAATCTTCTTCCCCACGACTTCCAGCTTCCAGTTCTCAGATTCCAACTTTGGGTCCCACACTTTAGACTTTTGCAGGTTTCTGTCCAAGAGTTCCACTCTCTTCCCAATCACGATGAGTCCATTCCAGGGGGTCCACACCTTCTCTTTCTCTCGCACTTGCGCCTTTTTGCAGTACGGCTCGGGTTGCGATCGCCTGTGGACGTGGGCCTTGCTCCAGGCGCCCCGGGCCCGGGCCTTACTACGGCCCCGCGGCCTCCTAAACTGCTTACCCCGTACTTTCGGGTCCGGGTGTGGCAACTTGAATGAAACCTCTTTCTCCACAGACATTGCCGCCTGCCTTAGGCCCTAGCCCCCCTGACTCACTCGGGTTCCCCATTCCCCCGCTACCCAACCCTCCCTCCCACCCTCACCCCCTTCCGGACTCCCCGCCCCGCCCACCGCCTGGTGGCGCCAAGATGCTCTAGTGCGCATGTGCAACTGCGCGCGCCAGATGGAAGGAGACCCGGCCTGGAACTGCCGAGTTTGTAGGGTCCCCCCAACCCCCGCGGGACCGACACGTGACCCCTATCACCCCCGCCTCGTGCTCGGGCCTATCCTGGACCGGCTCTCTGGTGCCCCTTAAAAGCTGGCACAGGATCGACAGGCCTCCCAGCCAATAGCAGCTCGCGTGGCTGACCTAGTGCCCAGTCAGAAGCAGGCTAGAGGAACCACCCAGAGAGGTGGCGGCGTGTGTCAATATCAGCTGATAGGATCCCTACAGGGTCCCCTCATCCAAGCTCTTGGAACGCGCAGGCCGTGGCCAGCTGTGGGATTCTTGTATGTCCCAGCTGAGGAGCACTATGGAGGAGCTTCATCAGGAGGCTGGGAAAGAGAGCAAGGTAAAGGAAAGAAGCAAACCCCTTCCTACTCCACCTCTCTCCATCATAACTTACCAAGCAGGGAGCGAGACCTGAGCAAGAGAATGCAGCGCTTCTATGGCCCCTGCAGAGGAGCCGGTTGAGGATAACAAAGATAACCAGGGTTTGACCTCAGCCTGCATGGATGGAATTGATGGGGAGAACAAGGCAGTGTGCGAGTGACTGTGAGGGAGAAGGAATGCTGTCGGGTTTACAGGCTCACCTGTGTGTTTGTGTTCCTATAGTTAGGAAAGCATCCATTCATTCTTCATCTTTTCCTCATTCACTTCATTCAATAGTTATTGAAGATCTTTACTGTCTTGGGACTTGCAGAAATACACACTTGAGGTAGGAGTTGAAGGCGCTGGCGAGCTGTGGCAGAGGTAAGGATGGAACCTCTGTGGTCCATTCTGGAAGTCACACTTCCCTCAAGCAGCCACCAAGTAAAGTAGATTTGAGTAGAGATAGACATCAAGAAGGAAGCCAGGGACTAGGGAGCTAGGCTGCCTGAGTTTGAAGAGGGGAGGAGTGGGGAGAGTGAGGGATGGTCTGACTTGGGATGGTCAGAGAATCCAAGAAGTTGAGAGTGGGATTCAAGTGGAATCTGGAGAAATAAGAGGGACTGAACCTGCTCACATATGTTCATATTAGAAAGTATGTATAAGTAACCAGGCAAGGTGATGCACACCTTTAATCCTGGAATTCCAGAGGCAGAGGCAGGAAGTGAGTTCAAGGCCAGCCTGGTCCACGTGGAGAGTTCTAGGTCAGCCAGGGCTATGTAGGGAGATCTTGTCTCAAACGCAGAAGAATATATATTATTTTATACATATATAACGTTATTTATACACACATTCTTTTATACATATGTGTTATTTTATACACATATATTATTTTATGCATATATACATATTGTTATTGTATGCACATTTATTATTTTTATACATATATGCACTTGGAATATGTTTATAAAGTGATTAGAAGCCAGGTGTAATCCCAGCACTTGTGAGGGTGAGGCAGGAGGATTACTACCAGTTTGAGGCCTGCCTAAGCTACAATGTGAGACTCTGCCTTGAATATATAAATTTATTTCATTATTAGAATAATACCTAGCGTATTATAAGGCCAGACATAGTGTTGCTGATTTGTGCTGTTGGGGTTGCTGTTGTTGCTATTATCTTACGGGTTACTATATGTCCTGAGAGTGCGCCGAACCATTACACTGATGAGTGCAGCCCAGATGTAGGGGCCATCTTCTGAAAGTCCTCTAGGTTAGATCCAGTCTTCACAAAGTACATTTTTCAAATGTAGATGCAGACTGGAGAGATGGTGCAGTGGTTAAGAGCTCTTGCTGCCCTTGCAAAGGATCTGAATTTGGTTCCCAGCACCTACATCAGGAGGCTCCCAACTGCCTGTTACTCCAGCTCTAAAACCGTCTTCTGGCCTCCTTGGGTACTTGCAGGCAAATGTGCATACTCATGGACACACACATGCACATAAATTTTTAAGGTTTAAATGTAGAGACATTAAAAGGAACATTAAAGAACTTGGAAAGTGCGACTTAGTGGTACATTGCTTGCCTAGCAAGGTCCCCAGTTTGATCCTTAAAACTTCAAAAATTATCAGTAATAATAAATACAAGCAAAAGTATAGTGGGGAGGAAGTGTAAAAATAGAAGATATTTGATTAATCTTATTAAAGACAAGGAAAATAAATAATAAAAAGGTAAAAGTTGGGCGGTAGTGGCACACACCTTTAATCCCAGCACCTGGGAGGCAGAGGCAGGTGGAGTTCAAGGCCAGCCTGGTCTACAGAGCCTAGCTTCAGGACAGGTCTCTCTCTGAGTGAAGCATCTTAGACTGATCAACTATCCTGATTCGCAAGGTCTTCTTCTGTAGGCTGCTCTGGAACTCACTATGAGATCCAGGCTGGCCTCAGCTCAGGGGCAATCCTCCTACCTCTGTTTTCTGAGCACTGGGATTTCAGATACATACTGCTGTTTCTCACCTGTGTGTGAGAGTGTGTCTTATATGTGTTCATATGGAAACCAAGTGTGCAAACAGGGTGCACTGTTCTCCCTTCTGCCTTACCCTTAGAGCGGTCTCTCGCTGGACCTGGAGCTAAACTGGCAGTCAGTAAGCCCAAGCAGTTTTTGTGTCTCCACTTCCTGCTGTAACATGGTTCTTTACTACAACCTAGATCTGTAGCAGGCTTTCTCTTGGGCCACCAACCAGCACCCAACTCATTACATGGAGATCAGTCAGTTGCCTTAGGCAGGCAAGGAGAAACAGCAACACATCATTACTTACATTGTTAAACAAATGCAGCATACACAAATTTAGCACATCTTTGCCTAGTTAAAGTGAAATTCCCCAACATGGATCTCTACATAGGTGCTGGATCTGAACTCAGATCTTCATGCTTGGGCAGCAAACACTCTCCCCCAGTAAGTCATCTCTCCAGTCATACCTACTGTCTTCCTTATGTCTGCTGGATCATCACTGGGAGTCTTTCTTTTTTTTTTTAATTTCTGATAGTGATTAGTATTCTCCCTCTTCCCTTTCTCCTCTTGTCTTCCATATTTTCTCTTTCTTTCTCACCCTGCTAGGATTTTATCTAGTGTATTAATATTTCTTTAAATTTATATTTTTTGGGGGGTCTGGAGAAATGACTCCTCTGTAATGGTCTGTCCTGTCTGTTTAATAGACAAGCCCTACCCATTCCCTTCCCAGTCTGCCAAGGCAGGTGGAATTTCCTTCTGCTTCCAGTCTGAGTCCATCTCTCTCCCAAAGAGGTAGCTGCTGCTGTGGCTCCTATCCCCCTCTTCTCTCTCTCTCTCTCTCTCTCTCTCTCTGCTTCTCTTCCTCTCCCCTTTCCCTTCTATAACCCACTAAATAAATGTCCAACCTCACTCTGCATGGTGTGCCTATCCATCTAGGTCTCTCACCCACCACGTGGCTCCCTGCCTGATCCTCTGCCCCATGTGGGTCATGGGCCACTCAGTGAACAGCGCCATTTTACTTAAACCATAACATCCTCTTCCAAAGGACACAAGTTCCATTCCCAGCACCCACAAGGCAGCTTATAATTACCTGTGACTCTAGTTCCAGGGGATCTGACACTCTCCCACAGACATACATGCAGACAAAATGCCAATGAACATAAAATAAAAATATATTTAAAGTTTTAAAACCACATTATTTGTTTTCCTCATTTTATGTTTATTTTTAAATTTTTCTTATGTTTATTATCTTTTTATTATTGTGTATGTATCTGGGCATCAGATAGTCCCTTTGACCTTCACAGGCACCAGACACACACAAGGTTTACAGACACGCATACAGGCAAAACACTCATACACATAAAATAAAATAATAGTTTATATATGTGATATATATAAAGAAAAATGTCTTAGCTTATTTTAAAGTAGAGAAAGTCATTTTGTAGTTTTTTAAAATATTTTATTTATTTATTATGTATACAGTATTCTGCATGTATGCTTACACGCCAGAAAGTGCACCAGATCTCGTTACAGATGGTTGTGAGCCACCATGTGGTGGCTGGGAATCAAACTCAGGACCTCTGGAAGAGCAGCAAGTTCTCCTAATTGAGTATTTTTGAGATAGGGTTTCCTTATATAATTCTGTTTTCTCATACTTTGGTAATTCTTTTTACTTCTGCCTCCTAAATGCTGGAATTACATATCTGACCCACCATACCCAGCTGAAATGCTTGGCTCTTAATTGAAATGTTTAGGACATTTACAGTTTTTGAAATTACCCATATAGTAGATTAAAAACTTACCATCTTACTTTGTATTTTTTCTTGGTCCCATATTTTTGCTTGCTATGTGTGTTCAAATGTGTATTAGTTGTGCACATGAAGGTCTGAGGTTAATGTCTCTTTTTTGAAAATATTTGCTTTTATTTCATTATTTCATCTCTATGATTGTTTTCCCATATGTATGTCTGTGTCCCATGTGCAGTCAGTGCTGGGGGAAGTCAGAATTCCCTGGAACTGGAGTTATAGACAGTCATTAACCATAGTGTGGTTGCTGGGAATTGAATCTGGATCTTCTAGAAGGGTAGCCAAATGCCCTTAACTGCTGAGCCATCTCTCTGGCCCATATTGATGTCTCTTAGTTGATCCCTAAGTTTGCCTTTTGAGCTAGCCTGGCTAGCCGGCTTGCTCTGGATATCCCGTCTCTCCCGGTCATAGCTAGGGTTATAAATGGTATACCATGCCTACCTGGCTCTTTTGAGTTCTGGGAAGCCCTGCCCTCTGCTTATAGAGCAGGCACTTTACCTGTATCCTAGCCTCCCACCTGTTTTGTGTTTTTTAAGATCTTAAAAATTACTTCTAGGGGGCTGAAGAGGTGGCTCAGTGGTTAAGAGCATTGTCTGCTCTTCCAAAGGTCCTGAGTTCAATTCCCGGCAACCACATTGTGGCTCACAACCATCTGTAATGAGGTCTGGTGCCCTCTTTTGGCCTGCAGTCATACACAGAATATTGTATACATAATAAATAAATATTTTTAAAAAATTACTTTTAACTTTATGTAGGTGTGTGTGTCTGCATGTAGTGTGTGTAGGTGTGTGTGTCTGCATGTGGTGTGTGTAGGTGTATGTGTCTGCATGTGGCATGTGTAGGTGTGTGTGTCTGCATGTGGTGTGTGTAGGTGTGTGTGTGTTTGTGTGTCTGCATGTGGTGTGTGTAGGTGTGTGTCTCTATGTGGTGTGTGTAGGTGTGTATCTGCATGTGGTGTGTGTGTCTGCATGTGGTATGACACTGTGAGTGCAGGGGTCCTCAGGGACCAAAGGTATCAGGTCCCCTGAAGCTGGAGTTACAAAGGGTTATAAGCCACTGATGTGGATGCTGGGAACCGTACTTATTCTTATGAAGAACAGCAAGTTACTCTTTATGCTGAACCAGCTCTTCAGCCTCTGCTTGTCTTTCTCAGAATGTAGCCCAGACTCATTGTGTAGCCCAGGTTACCTTGAATTCTCCATCATCCTCCTTTCTCAGCCTACTAATTGCTGGGATTTCATACCTCTACGTTATGCTTAATGTATCTCACTTCTCCTTTTTAACTTTGTTATAAAGATTTATTTTCATTATTTATGTGAATGTCTCCATGTATGTCTGTCTGTCTGAGTATATGTACATGTGTGCATAAAAGTGCTGTGCAGTCCAGACGTTCAAGCTGGCTTTGAACTCACCGAGTTCTGCCTGCCTTTGATTAAAAATAACTAAATAAATAACTGAAGTATGGACCATCATTTCTGCCATACAAATGTTTTTAATCTTTTGCTTGTTTTAATTTTTTTGTTGTTGTTTTTTGATTTTAGAGACAGAATTTCTTTGTGTAGTCTTGACTGTCCCAGAACTTGTTCTGTAGGCCAGGCTGACTTTGAACTCACAGAAATCTGCTTGCCTCAGTTTTCCCAGTGCTGGGGTTAAAGGCATGCACCACCACCACCTGACTTTAAGTTTTTATTTTATGCTTATGGGTATTTTGTCTGTATGTGTTGTTTGTGTACAATATTCGTGCTTCGTGCCCATGGAGGCCAGAAGATTGCATCAGAACTGGAGTTACAGACAGTTGTGAGCAGTTGTGAACTGCCATGTTGATGTTGGGTTCTCTAGAAAAGCAGCCAATGCTCTTAACCATTGAGCCATCTCTCCAGCCCCACAATTAGTTTAAAAAACAGAAGGAGAGCCAGGCAGTGGTGGCACACGCCTTTAATCCCAGCACTGAAGAGGCAGAGGTAGGCGATCTCTGTGAGTTCGAGGCCAGCCTGGTCTACAAGAGCTAGTTCCAGGACAAGCTCCAAATCTACAGAGAAACCCTGTCTTGAAAACTAAAATAAAGAAAAACAAACAAAATTTTTTTAAAAAAAAGTAGAACTGAAAGATAGCAACAGCTACACAGCACGAATGTCCCTGTGCCATCGGCCTGTACCTCGAAGAATGATGGTTCCAGTGGGATTGTTTTTATTGTTTCGTTTTGTTTTTATTTTTTGGTTTTTCAATACAGGGTTTCTCTGTGCAGCAATGGCTGTCCTGGAATTCACTCTGGGGACCAGGCCGACCTTGAACTCTCAGAGATCCACCTGCCTCTGCCTCCCCAATGCTGTGATTAAAGACATGCGCCACCACTGCCCGGCTTGTTTTAAATTTTAAATGTTAAGGTTCATTTTCAATATAATGTGTGTATGTGTCTGCGTGTGGATCCGGTGCCCTCTGAGACCAGAGACATGAAAACCTTAGCACTGGAGTTACAGTAAGTGACTATGGGCACTGAGAACTGAGTCTGCTGGAAGATATAGCGTTGGGGGAGAGATTGGAGATACTCCACCCCCCAGCAAAGCAGGGGCTTCTTCCCTGACCCTGGATTAGGCACAAACTACACTCAAACACCTTTTTTCTACAGAGAGATCCTTTATTAAGAATGGAGAAAAAGTTAAAATGGTTGCTTTCTGGCTCAGGCCCCAAAACAGCAGCAAATGGCCTTACAGGTATAATATTTAAGAAGCGAGAAAGGGGAGGTCTGTGTTTGGGTTAGGATGTGGATGCAGTGGTATATTTTGATTGACTATGTTAATTAGGTGAACCAAAGGGGACTTTAGATTGCTGGACTTTAACATTTTTGTTTTGCTTTGTTTTGTTTTATTTTTTCAAGACAGGGTTTCTCTGTGTAACAGCCCTGACTGTCCTGAAACTCACTCTGTAGACCAGGCTGGCCTCAAACTCACAGAGATTCACCTGCCTCTGCCTCCCGAGTGCAATTAAAAGCGTGGGCCACCACCACCACCAAACTGGACTTCAATACTTTAATAGCAAGACTTTGGTCATCAACCTCAAAAGGAGGAGTAACCAGATAAAGGAACGGACCTTGGGGGTTAGCTTTAGGAATGTAATCTCATGGTTTTTAGCTAGACAGAGGGAATGGGGGCAGGGCAAGGCCTGGTAGAGTCGTGCTCGCCACACTTGAGCTGGGCAGAGCCCCTTCAGAGACAGAGACACCTGCCATGGGAGATGTGTGAAGATCAGAGGACAACCTTGGGGATTCTGTCCCCCACCCCATGGGTTCCAGTTCCAGAAAGCAAACTCAGGTCCCCAGGCTTTATGCAACAAGTGTTTTTACCCACTGAACCAGTCTAAATTACATATATTGGCAGAATGTGGCCAACACTTGGCAGATGCAGGCATGCTGAAGAGTATGAGGCTGTCGTCAGCTACATAGGGCATTGTCTCTAAAGAACAAAAGCAAAAACTGACGTATATTTTATCACCCTTCCCAAACTGTCAAAAACATTGAGGGAAAGAGAGAAGAGTTTGACCGATGGTTCATGCCAGTAAACCCAGCCACTCCAGATGGTTAGACAGACAGGACAGCCAGTTGGCTCAGACTGCCAAGCCTGCTGACCTGAGTTCAAGCCCCCAAACCACTTGGTGGAAGGCAGGAATTGATCCCTTCCAAGTTGTCCTCTGACTGCCACACGTTGCCCCCATAAATAAACAGGTGATTGTAAATTTTTAAAATAGTTTTTAAACCAAAAACTAACAGAAAACTAAGTCTTAACGATAGCTGCTTGCTAGCCTGTGCAGGACCTTGGGTCCATCCGCCGCAGCATTGCAAGAGAAAGGAGAAAGATATACCAGGACGCAAACCGTAAAATATGTTCAAGTTAAATTAATGTGTCAGGATGGTAGTTCTTTAGCAAGGCAGTATTCTAGGAATGTAAGATGCTCGGCATTTGAAACCAGTCAATGAGATCCAGCACAAATCCAACCAGGAATCTTGGTTTGTCGTCGCGCACACCCCCCATGCCGCCGCCCCTGCCCCCTACCCCTCGCGAGCGCCCGGTACAAACGACCCCCAATCGCCCGGTGCTGCCAGTTACAAAAGCATCTCTTCGCCGCCTGGTCATGTTACAAAAGCCGAGGAGCAGGAGCTGCCCTAGTGCCCAGCCCGGGAGCGGCAGCGACCGTGATCTGGGTGCCTCTGGAGAGGTCCCGAGTGGGCCCGGACGCCCCGATGCCTCGCAGGGCAGTGCAGGCGCCTTGTCGCCGAGTTCCCGCCCGGCCCAGGCCACTCCCGCCCCGGAACTCCGGACCCAGAAGCAGCTGGAGTTGAAGGTGGCAGAGCTGGTGCAGTTCTTGCTGATTAAGGACCAGCGGAAGATCCCCATCAAGCGGACTGGTATCCTGAAGCACGTCATCCGTGACTACAAGGACATCTTCCCAGACCTGCTCAAGCTGGCTGCCGAGCGTCTCCACTATGTGTTCGGGTACAAACTGGTAGAACTCGAACCCAAGAGCAACGCCTACATCCTCATTAACACCCTGGAGCCGGTGGAGGAGGATGCTGAGATGAGAGGCGACCAGGGAACGCCCACCACCGGCCTCCTGATGATTATTTTAGGGCTCATCTTTATGAATGGCCACAGCATCCCGGAAACCGAAGTCTGGGATTTTCTTCGTCGTTTGGGGGTGTATCCCACCAAGAAGCATTCCGTTTTTGGAGATCCGAAGAAACTCATTACTGAAGACTTCGTGAGACAGCGTTACCTGGAGTCCCGACGGATACCCCACACAGATCCCGTGGACTGTGAGCTCCAGTGGGGTCCACGAGCAAATCTGGAAACCAGCAAGATGAAAGTTCTTAAATTTGTGGCCAAAGTCCACAATCAAGATCCCAAGAACTGGCCCACGCAGTACTGTGAGGCTTTGGCAGACGAGCAGAGCAGGGTCAGACCGGAACCCAGTGGTACAGTCCCGGCTTCCTGAAATAAGTACTTGGGATTCTCAAGTTCAAGGCGGAAGAATAAGAAATATGGGGATGGGAGAAGCATATTTCCACAATAATTAAAGTGTATTACCTTTAAGATGTGTTTCGGTTTATTTTTTCTTTTAGAATTGATATAATTCTATGATACTGTACCTGTGCTGGGCCGTGGTGGTGGTGCTTGCCTTTAATCCCAGAACTTGGGAGGCAGAGGCAGGCGGATCTCTGAGGTAGAGGCTCATCTTGGTTTATAGAGAATTCCAAGACAGCTAGTGCTTCACTGAGAAACCAGAGAGAGAGAGAGAGAGAAAGAGAGTAAGAGTAAGAGAGAGAGAGACATTATTTTTCATTTACAGATATTATGGTGTGTGTGAATGCTTATGTTTGCCATGGACGTGTAGCGGTCAGAGGACAGTTTATAGGAACTTGTTCTCACCTTCCATAGTGGGGGATATGAGGATCTGATCAGGCTTGGTGGCAAGCACCCAGAGCCATTAAGCCATGTCACCTGCTGATGTTTGGGTTTTCTGTTTTCAGGCTGGAATTCACTCTGTAGACCAGGGTAGCCTCCAATTTAGAGATTTGCCAGTCTCTGCCAAAGGAGTACTGGGATCAAAGGTGTATGTTACCACCACCTGGCATGGGTTTGTTGGGGTTTTTTTATTGTTATTTTTAAACAGGGTCTCATGTAACCCAGGTTGATTTCAAACTCCTGATCTTCCCCTCCTGAAAGCTGCAGAGTCAGGCATGGTGGTCACACACCTGTAATCCCAGCACTCTGGAGGCAATGGTAGGAAAATTAACTAGAGTTGGAAGCTAGCCTGGGCTTCATAACACTACCCTGTCTCACAAAACAAAAAAAAAATTTATTTCTAAATTCTATGTCTCTGTGTGGGTATATATATGTATATGAATTCAGGTATCCACAAAGACCAGAAGAGGGTGTTGGGCCCCCTAGAGCTGGAGTTAGACAATTATTGGCTGCCTAACATGGGTGGTAGAACCCCAGTTCTCTTTATTTTTAATTTTATTTAATGTGTGTATGGGTTTCTTTTTTTAAAGATTTATTTATTTATTATGTATACAGTGTTCGGCCTGCAGGAATGCCTGCAGGCCAGAAGAAAACACCAACTCTTATTGCAGATGGTTGTGAGCCACCATGTGGTTGCTGGCGATTGAACTTAGGACCTCTGGAAGAGCAGTCAGTGCTCTTAACCTCTGAGCCATCTCTCTAGCCCATGTGTGGGTGTGTGTTTTGTCTGCATGTATGTCTGTGCAGTGTTTACATCTGGTGCAGAAGACATAGATAGGATTTCCTGGGACTGGAGTTACAGATGGTTGTAAACTGCCAGATGGGTGCTAGGGATTGAACCCCAGAGCAGTAGTGTTCTTAACTGCTGTCATCTCATGAGCCCCAAAATAAAAAATTTAAAACAGAATAACATGCACATAACTATCCTGAGAAAGGGAGAGAAATTTGATAAAAATCAGCCTCATCTAAGGATATGTATGATAAAAGGTAGATAAATATACCTGTTTGGTTTTTGTTTTTTAAAAATCTGTTGCATGTGCATATATGTATACATGTGAGTGTCATAGCATGTATCAGCTGTCAGAGGACAACTTTGTAGTCATTTCTTTCCTTCTCCCTTTACATGGTTTCCTTGAGCTTTCAAAACAAATGCTACAGCTTCCAGAATTGGCGCTGATTTTGTTTTCTGAGACAGTTTCTCTTTGGAGCCTGTCCTGGAATTCGCTCTGTAGACCAGGCTGGCCTCGAACTCACAGAGATCCACCTGCCTCTGCCTCCCAAGTGCAGGATTAAAGACATGTGCCACCACTACATTTTTATTTATTTATTTGGGAGAAGGGAGTACCATGACAAGGGTTTTAGTCAGGGTTTCTATTGCTGTGAAGAGACACCATCACCATGGCAACTCTTTTTTTTTCTCAAAGTTTATTAAAATACAAAAGTCTCCATTTCCATCCCTCCTCCCAACCCCCTCCCACTCCCCACCATGGCAACTCTTATAAAGGAAAACATTTAATTGGGCCAGCTTACAGTTTCACAGGTTTAGTCTATTGTCATTATGGTGGGACATGGCTGCATGCAGATGAACATGGTGCTGGAGAAGGAGCTGAGAATTGAGAAGGAGCTTAGCAACAGGAAGTGGTCTGAGACACTGGACATAATTTGAACAAAGACCTCAAAGCCCGTCCCCACAGTGACACACTGCCACGTGCAAGGCCAACCCACTCCAATGCCATACCTCCTAATAGTGTGTCTTAATTAGGGTTTCTATTACTATGAAAAAAGGCAAGTTGGGGAGGAGAGGGTTTATTTTATTAGGCTTATACTTCAGCATTGCCGTTCATCACTGAAGGAAGCTGGGACAGGAACTCACACAGGGTAGGATCCTGGAAGCAGGAGCTATTGCAGAGACCATGGAGCGGTCTACTTACAGACTTGCTTCCCATGGCTTGCTCAGCCCACCTTCTTATAGAACCCAGCTGCCCAAGGATGGGTCCACCCACAATGGGCTCGACCTTCCAGAACTGATCACTAAATTTAAAATTTGCCTTACAGCCGGATCTCAAGGAGGCATTTCCTCAGCTGAGGCTCCTTCCTATATGACCCTAGCTTGTGCCAAGTTGACACACACAGAACCACCCAGCACATAGTGCCATACCCTTGGGGGTTATTTTCTCTTAAATCACCACAGGTATGTGGAGGTCAGAGGAAAACTTGAGGGAGTCAATTCTTGCTGTCTACTGTGTGATTCCTGGAGATGACATTGGAGTCATCATGCTTGGCAGCAGGTGGCATCCCAGTTGAGCCGTCTCAACAACCCTCCAGTCTCTCCTTCCTTTTTGTTTTTTCTTTTAGTGTTGTTCTTGTTTTTCGAGACAGGGTTTCTCTGTAGCTTTTGGAGCCCATCCTGGAACTCACTCTGTAGACGAGGGGCTGACTTCGAATTTACAGATCTCTTTTCCTTGAACTCACTACATAGTCAGATCTGGCCTTGAATTCTGTCTACAGTCTCTTAAAGTTATTATGGGCTTGACCTCTTGATCTTCCTGCCTACACCTCCCAAGTGCTGGTGTGCTTTGCCACACCCAACTGGAAAGTCATTGTTTATGATTGGAAACAACCAAGGGTTTCCTTTATCACCGTGCCTATCTCTTCTCTTAAACACTGTAGTCTAGGACTAGTAAGTCAGGAACAGGAACAAAGACTGGAAAGGAAAGAGTAAAGCTTTTTAAGTTATAGGATTATATCAGTAGTAAATCTAGAAGAGCCTAAAAACTAATGACGCATTTAGCAAGGTATTGTAATTATTTATAAAAATAAGTAGAGCTGGGTGTAGCAGCACATGTCTTTAATTCCAGCACTGGGATTTAATTCCAGCAGAGGCAGATGGATCTCTGTGAGTTTGAAGTCAGCCTGGTCTACATAGAGTTCCAGGCAGGCAATGGGTAACAGAGACTCTCTTTCAAAAATAAGTAAGTATATAACCAAAACAAAATAACTAGGACTGGAATTTAGATCAGTGGTAGAACACTTGCTTTGCCAGAGTGAGGCATGAGTCCATGCCCAGTACCACAAGAAATAATGAGAACAGTAGTAGTAATAGTGATAATCGATACTATGGGAAGCTAGGCACAGTGGCTCATTGCTTGTAATCCTAATACTGAGGCCAAGATAGAATTGTTAGGCGTTAAAGACCAGCTTGATCTATGTATCGAGTTCCAGGCCAGTCAGGGCTACATAGTAAGATGCTGCCTTTAAAAACACCTAAATAAATAAATAGTAATAATAAAAATCCAAATCCCTGGTAAGAGCATAATATGTTGTTGAGTGGGTAACAAAAGTTAAGCCCCATGTACTACTGCATGCTGGTAACTCTGCTAACACAACCAAGGCAGAGACTGGCACTTACCTGTTGGCCTTGCTCTTGGTCTCCCACGGTTGTAACTCCACTCCTGTTTTCTTTTGCTTGGGAAAGGATCTTACTCTGTAGTCCCGGCCTGACTGAAACTCAGTACTTTATCTAATGCCAGGCTGGCCTTAAATTTACAGCAATCCTCCTGTCTCAGTTTCCCAAATACTGTGATTATAGGCATGAGACACCAAGCCAGGCTTATGAAGGCTTTTTTTTTTGTTTTTTTTTTTTCTTTTTTAGTTTTTTTTTTTTTTTTTTTTTTTTTTTTAGTTTTTTGAGATAGCATTTCTCTGTGTAGCCCTGACTGTCCTGGAACTCACTCTGTAGACCAGGCTAGTCTCAAACTCAGAGATCTATCTGCCTCTGCCTCCCAAGTGCTGGGATTAAAGGCATGCACCACCACCACGCACAAAGGCATTTAAAAGCCCATGCAGGTTCTATAAAGAAGCAGTTCTCGTATCTAAGTGAGGACTTAGGATCCTCCAAAGAGAACAATGAAAGCATTCTGCCTGCCCCTGAGGATGGAGCTGGGGAAGTGTTTGGTTAGTAGTGGTACCACTCTGAGCAGGGTCTCCAGAGAGGTAGGACAAAGTGTCTTCACTTAGCCACTTTGCCCCCTCACCCCACAGCCTTCCTCCATGCCGGTGGATCTGCAGGGAGAGAGCTCCTTACAGGTGGAGATTTCTGATGCAGTGAGTGAGCGGGACAAGGTGAAGTTCACTGTTCAAACCAAGGTATGGTGGCCTGTTGGCCAGGAGATGGGCAGATGGCCTGGGATGGGAGGCAGAACCAGTGAAGCTTCCCGCCCTGAGCTTTGATTGCCTTTGGCTGAGGCCCCACCTTCCTGAATGAAATCACAGGTTTCAAATGGGATGCAGGATGGGAATGCTAAAAGTGGCTGCTTAGCAGGTTTGGTGAGGGCAGGTTTGGGGGAGATGAGGTCTTATGCATGTCTCTGGGCTTCCAGAGTGGCCTCCCTCACTTTGCCCAGCCTGAGTTCTCAGTGGTTCGCCAGCACGAGGAATTCATCTGGCTACATGACACCTATGTGGAAAATGAGGAGTACGCCGGCCTTATCGTGAGGAGGGGCCGGGCTGGGCTGCGAGGGGCAGGCTGGGAACATGGGTTAGGACTCAGGCTGTGATGGCCTCCTTGG